GAGAGTATGCATGATGCATTTCCCATCGTTAAAAAAAAAAAAGGTTAGGTAAGGTTAGGTTAGGTTAGGTTAGGTTAGGTTAGGTTAGGTTAGGTTAGGTTAGGTTAGGTTAGGTTAGGTTAGGTTAGGTTAGGTTAGGTTAGGTTAGGTTAGGTTAGGTTAGGTTAGGTTAGGTTAGGTTAGTTTAGTTTCCAGGACTATTTCCTAGTTTTCAAATTTATATGTTTCTTTACTCTATTACATCAATTTTTAGTCTTCTCCGCACTAACTTTGCTTTTCTTTTCATAACATCGATTTCTATTAATTTATTTTGTATACACTTATATATGTACCTAACATTTTATACACATTTTCTTTTACTAGAGTCTTAGAATAGCTACCTGTACATTCAGTGACTTCTTATAATTAATATTACTGTATCAAGTAACAGGACTATTTCCTAGTTTTCAAATTTTTATGTTTCTTAACTTTATTAAATCAATATTTAGTCTTCTACGCACTAACTTTTCTTTTCTTTTCATAACAGCTATTTCTATTTTTCTATTTTATAATACACTTATATATTTACCTAACATTTTACACACATTTTATTTACTAGAGTCTTAGAATTGCTACCTGTACATTTATATGTACCTGTGCAATTTCTATATACATCTACCTTTATTTTATATCTTATATCTAAATTACATGTTATGCGGTTTGTAACATAATTTATTTACGCTGTACTTATATCTAACACTCCATTTAGTTCTATTTACCGACATTAATATAGCTTAGGGGTGTGAAGTGGTTTACAAAGGAGATATGTTGTATACTGTCACTCCTATATGTACATCGTGATATCTATCACAGTTAATATCCTTTAGCCCTACATTTATTTCTTCTTACTACCGATAGCTTACTGGCGCCGCATTTATATGCCGCTTTGATCTAAATTCCCTGCTTGCAGCATTTGATCCACCGACTTGTCTTTTGTCTCAGTACTCATCCCTGCGATGTGGTCCTTTCACTTTTTACCTGGTTCGGTTTTGCTAAATGCGCCAGGTTAAATACTTGTTGCATTTCAACTCTAACCTCTCCAAGTTTTGGAGTATTCCCCATCATCCCAGAGATTGAGTATAATGGTGCTTACTTGTGCCGCTCGCGTGGAGATTGAGACCTCAGTAAAGCTCCATGCCCTTTCTTTATTTTGCTGCCATTTTTGCCGCCCACTCATCGCACATATCACTTCTTGCAAACCACTTTCCCCCGCTTTGTATGCATCCTTTCTGTTAGTGACGTTTTCTAAGATCTCATTCTGTCGAAATTGGTAGCTGGAATTCCCCGGGGCCATTTCAGCAGTATGCTGTCGATGACCGCGCCAAGGCATCCCACTTCCTTCTCACGGGGCAATCGGCGCTGAAAGCATTGTGTTCTTTTTGCTCGAGCTTTGCCCTCAGGCAGTTTTTGCAGGACGGTGGATCTCCCGAAAGCCACTCAGTGCACTGGTCCCTGAGGTGAGGGCCACCACAATGGCTGCACACATCCACCTTCTCCGTGCACAGTCTTTTGCTGTGCCCATACCCCAGGCACCTAGAGCACTGAATAAGCGGGGATTGGTCCTCCACTCGAACCCGTTGCAGATCCACGTGGATAATGCCATTTTCAATCATGGCCATCCAGACCCGTGGCGACACTTTCAGTACAATATGGGATGTGAGTGGGTTCCTGGTCTTTTTCCTGAATTTGACCTCCATCCTTAGGTCATTCCCACTCACTTCCGACAAAAGATGTTTATTTTGTACTTTAATGGCTTTTATGATGTCGTCATCTGTGTTATATGCCATTACATCTTTTATTACTACTAACGGGTCCTTGTTCTTTATGTCCTCTATATTTAGCTGCGTCCCTTCTTTTACCAATTTCTTTCTTGATCTTCTCCAACTCTTCTCTTGTGTTGCAACCCACAATCACTTTTCTGTCTCTGGCCTTCCTGATTTTATCTATTTTTAGTCCCTCGTCCTTTGCATTTATCGCCTTCCTGATTTTGTCTATGACCTGGTCCCCTGTGTCCAGTTCATCTTTTGAGGTTATTGCCACAGAGTGTGTGTGGCCATATGCCTCGGAGCCAGGTTCGGGTGTGTATTAGCTACTTTGTTTGCATAAGTCGCCCTGTCATTTATATGATCCTGTTCTTTTAGAGTTGTGTTTAGTTTTATCATCTCTACCTTGTTTTCTTCAATAAGTTTACTATGTTCTTCCAATCTTTGAATAAGTTTATCTTCTGCTTCCTGTTTTCTCTCTTTGTTTTCCGATGCATTTTGTTCTTTGTTTTTATCCTTTTGTTGTTGATTTTCCATTTCTAGTTTTCTTTCTTTTTCTGCTTCTTTTATGATTTGGTACATTCTTTCTATACACTGTGTTACTTCTGCTTTTATTTCTGCTTTTAGATTTCGCGAGTTGTTTAAGTACAATTTCGCTTTATTTAAGCAGGCACGGGCTTCTGCAACTCTGTCCACATATTTTGGTTTTTTATTTTCTTTTTCTATGTCTTTATTGGGCGAGAGCCCCTGCCTCGCTGGAGATTTAATGTTTGTGGGGGGGACTGTCGTTTGCTTTACCCGAGTCTGTGCCTGATTTGTTTTCTTATTTTGGGCTCCTGGGTCCAGGTCTTGATTTTCCGCCTCCCATTCGCCAATGCTGCGTCTAACGCGAGATGGACCTGCCATTGCTCTTTCATTTGGCGAACTTTCCCTATCTAACTCATTTGGTCTCTTAGCAGGAGTGCGGATTCCGAACATTGTCGGGGAACGTGTCAATATGTCTCGCTACTTAGATTTTTTATGCGGACAATAAGTAAAAGTAGATATTGTAAGATATTACTTACTAGATGTATAAATAAATAGTGTTTACTGAAGGTATATTTTGACCCCTATATGTACAGGTATAGGAGTGTCAGTATTTTAAATACCGCCCTATTTCAGGTTCGGAGAGTCCCTATGTATATTAGAAATATCCCTATGCTATATAAATGTCAACTGTAATGTTGTCAATTTTTGTATATAGTAGAATATAAGTATATTGTCAACTATTTAATATTGTGTCAGTATCGATGTATTTGCCTTTATGTAAAGGTAAAGGCAGTCTTTGATTTTTATGCGACTCTATATAGAGTCGCTCTCTACTTATAATGTACTGTTACTTTGATTTTTCTAATTTAGTCTGTTTTAATTGACTACTGTGTATTTTACAATTTTTATTTTTGCTCTATGTAGAGCGTGTTTCTTATATATAATGGTACACAATGTAAATATATTACTGTTTCTAAAGTATATATGATAATCTTATAAAGTTAAGCAAATAATCTCCTTTACCGTCTTATATTTAGAATAAAAGTTTTGTAATAATAATAATAACTCAAGATAATGTTATTATTCTACAGGTACACAAAATTACAAGATGTTTGAGTCCAAACACGACTACCCTATCTTATTTCTAGCACCTTTTATGGTCGTCTAAAATTTGGGTTAGGTTAGGTTAGGTTAGGTTAGGTTAGGTTAGGTTAGGTTTAGGTTAGGTTAGGTTAGGTTAGGTTAGGTTAGGTTAGGTTAGGTTAGGTTAGGTTAGGTTAGGTTAGGTTAGGTTTAGGTTAGGTAGGTTAGGTTAGGTTAGGTTAGGTTAGGTTAGGTAGGTTAGGTTAGGTTAGGT